CATAAGCATTTAGACAATAAAATTTTGTTTTCGGCAAGGTTGGCGTCTTTTTCATCAAGCTATGCTCTTTTTTTAGCGATTTCGTGGAGGTACCTAACTAAAGGGTACAGAGGGTGAATATGGTTGTATACAAATGCTTGTAAAAGGCTGGATGAGAAAATCCAGTATGGAATTTAATATTACTAGAATTTTTTGCAATACACTGACACATGTGGAAATCCTCACAGTACTTAGTACCTTTGAAGTGGTCACTAACATTTTTGGTTCAGATTTACAAACTATGTTTCATTCAATCCAATTTTCATCAATGAAATTTGAATAAGCTGATTTGCTGGGAAAAATACTTTGACAAAGAGCCTACTTCATGGTAAACAATATTTTTTTAAGAAAATTTATTTTTTTCCTTTTTAACAGCAAGGAATAAATTTTTAGGAATTCTTAGTCTTATTAAATAAGTATTTGTTATTTTAATCTTTAAATTGTTTTAAAATAGGGGGAGTGTTTTCTTTGTTAAATAATAACTTAATTTTTCAAAAAAAAATTAATGAAAATTTATTGTACTCTAGTAAAACCAACTATACTTTGTACCCACTCACCAATTTGCATTTTCTCTCCAAAATCTGGTTTTGATCAGTGAATGTATGGCTATTTTAGAGGATGTGACAGATATATTAATGCAAGTCACAGAATTTTATATATAGATTTAGGTACTTATGTTCAGGAGAGAAAAAAAAACACAAAAAACTTCCATAGATGTAAAAAATAGTTTTTTTTTAGTGTTTTATATGTGCTATAAAAATTAACCTAGTATTCACTACTGTTTCACATGAGCTATGAAAATTAACAAATCTATGGATTTGTACAGTATATATATATATATATATATATATATATATATAATTATTTATTTAAAAATATGATTCCAAACTTTTGTATCGAGCACTATTTTTTAAAAATAATAACTAAAATACTAAGGGACTTTGGATTATTTACCTAACCAGTTTTCTATTTTCTATATATTTTCACACACATATATATATATATATATATATATATATATATATATATATAGTCAGTTCTTTTCATGCTGATATATCAATTATCACTGGAAGCAAAATCTTTGGAGGAATCTAGAGCTCGAAACATATGAAATAAAAAAAGAAATGAGCAGAAAAATGATACACCTGAGGAAAGTACAAATAAATTGAAACAGTGAATGAAATATAGTCATAAGCCTGAATAATTTGTAACAGATTGAACAAAAGCTTAAACACAGTACCTTGTTAGTTGTCTTTAATGAAACTTGTAGAAAAGAGGGATTGCTTCCCAAATAGACTAACTATATATAAAATGTATATAGACATGCACATACACACTAAGAAGATGTCAAAACCCATAAATAAAGAGTAAAGTGGTAGCATTTTAAATATTACAGATCTATAATTCAGCAATATATAGATATCTAAGTTGCCCAAGGGGATTAACTTTTCAAAATCACTCTCGATATCACAGAAAGGCCTCTGGTTGTGTAAATACACTCTCTTCAAATATATATGTATGATGATTACTCTCTCTGTTGCTGCCAAAAGCAGAATAAAAAAAAAAAAAGAAAGGGACTAAAAGAACTAGATTTCCCACTAATAGTTGAAATTTAGACACAAACATGAAGTGCAAACTCCAAATAAATTCACACTTTTCCATGATCTATTGCAGCGCTTCTTAAACTTTTTTCATTCATGACACCATATTTCATGATGAGACTTGACAACCCCAGGTAATAACCAACTACACTGAAAATACATCTGTTGTCACTGCACTAGTCGTAATGCCACCACATGCGCATTTTATTACCACAGCACTTCAATGGCATATCATGTTAAATATTATGCATTTCTGAAATAACACAGAAAGTGAAATTCAAATGTTTAAATATAATTTTCATGACCCCAGCACTTCATTTAACGTCCCTATTCCAGATAAAAAAGCAAAACTGAAGGGTGAGGAGATAATCCAGGACCAAACTAAGACCAGTGCTACCTGGAATCTGAGGGGGGGGAGGGGGGCGAGATATATACAACATATACAAATTTGTGCATATTTCAGAGATTTTACCATGACTGCCATCTGCAATCATTTTTTTTTTTTTTTTTATATTTTTTGCTTTCTTTTCTTTGTCAACTTTTCACCGACACTTTGCAACCCAACCATATATAAATGTTTGGATTTATTTTTCTTTTTTGTCCTGTTTCATCTCCCTTATTGACAATGCTTCCATGAGCAAAAGACTAAACATTTTTTTTTCTTTGTCTATGATCCCTCTTCAAATGTACGGGCCTATGGCACATAGTTAATCAAACAATGCCTATAAAATACTATTTTTTTTTATTCATAGGCTAAATGTATTTTATTTATGATTGAGATTTTTCTCAATGGAATAATGACAAAGTTCTATATTACTGTATTTATTTGTGTGTCCATTCAATATCTTGAGCCCTACGCACATTGAGAGACTAATTATCCAATTCAGCATCAAATACAAACTAACAAAAACCGTTATTTTTTTTTTTTTAAATTACTTCACTCCATGCAAGGTGATAATGCCACTAAGACAAGTGGCTACTGGGAGTGAAAGAGAATGAAAAAAAAACATTAGAAAGAACCAGTAACCTAATCCTAAACAGGAGACAAGGGATAAACTACCACCTTTCAATAGGCTGAGACAGTGTGTGAACCAGACAATAGGCGAACCTATCTATTCCTATTGAAGAGGGGGAAAAAATAATGAATAAAAAATCTCAGAGTTCAAGCAGAGATGTTAAAAGTATAGAGTTGAAGTAGACTTTAGAAGGAACTGGAAACCCAATCCTAAGCAGGAAACAAGAGATAAACTCGTACTCCTGTTCAATAGACAAGGGAGGTGTTTGAACGGGGCGACAGACGACTCTATCTACTTAAAGCAAAGTTAAACAAAGTTAAAATAAAAAGCATCTAAAAAGCTTCTGTTTAAGTTACATCAATGTATTTTCTTTTCTTTACAATTTAAAAACTACAGACTGAACGAGCAGAATATTTTTTTAAAATTTCTTTCTCTTTCATTTCCAAAATAAAACTAAAATTTTCTGTTTCTAAAACTGGAAAAACAAGATAAAAGAAAACTTGTATTCTTCACAAATCTTTTTTCTTAAATTGGTGTTTGTTTACCTCCTTCATAAATCAGAAAAGGTGCCAACTTTCTGACGGCAAAAATAAACATTTCCCTGCTGAAATTATGAGTGTACGGTTTTTTAGTCTAACTAAAAAGTAAAACCAACATTTCATTTTCAACTACAGACTTGACACGAACGGGAATTTTACAATTCTCTACGTTAAAAATTTAAAAGTAAAAACTTAAATTAATGGCTGGCAAGAAAAAAAAAAACACTCAATTAATTTTTTTTATTAAAATGGAAAATTTTTTCCTTCGCTGGTTATAAAAATTTTTTTTGAAACCAGGAAGTTACAAAAATTAGCTAAAAATCAATATTTTAATCACGTGAAAGAGGAATTTAAAAAATCTTAAATGACACAACACAAAACTCGGATTGCTTTTTTAACTTAAAATTATTTAAAATAAAAAAAAATATCATCAAGATGTTCTACAGAAAAATATTGAAAACAACTAAATATCCTCATAGAATTGAAAATGTAAAAAAAAGAAAAACTGAGTTCTAAAGTATGATATATAAATTAATCAAGTGCGGTGTCAAAGTTTTCTAAATTTTGCGTTTGCTGTATGACCCTAAGTAATTGTGCTGTCAATATGCAGAAGAGTAAATCTTTGTTGACATTTGACAAGAAGAGGAATTTTATTTTCTTTGACACTGAGTATAATAAGAAGAGTAAAAAGAAATGAAATGTGTTTTTGTCTCTATTGTTATTGTCAGTACAAAAAAATACAATCAAAAAGTTGTCAAGTACTCTTTCTCGGACAGTGAGCAAAAATAAAAAGGACTTTTTCCCCATAATTCTGATTTTCATGTTTAAACAAGTCTAGGAAAAAGAAAAATGTTTTAAAGTCCTAAAAGGAGGGAAAGGCAAATTAATTAAAAAGAGAAGTAATAATATTGTCTTCTCCCTATCAAAAAGTGGGAAGGGTTAAAAAAAAAATGTTTTAATTTTTTAAAAAGGTTTTTTAGTGCAGTTTGTTTATGAATTTTTTTATTCAATACACATTTTTCAAATTTTCTAATGTCCTTTATTTAAAATCACTTTTCCATTTCTCTAACTAACATTAACCATTGTGAAGGTTAGTTTGTTTTTTGTTTTTTTTTTTACTTTCAAAACAAAAAAAAGATTCATTAGCCTGGCTCATTATTGTTTCAACTTGTAAAATAGAAACGTGTGAAAATTTAAAAATACATTATGAATAAGAAATTAGTTACAGAAAGAATCAATTGCAAAAGCTTTTTTTGTTTATGGTACGTTTTACGAAAAGATGGTCACATGATCATCACTATATTCCGTCTTCATGTCGAGTTCCTTCTCTTAAATAATAATAATTTTATTTTCTCTTTTATTATGAATATTCGACAGTTTTATTTGTGAACAAAAAAATTTAAAAAAACATTTTTTACTCTGCTTGTTTTTTTTTAAATATTCATGACGGCAAATTGATTACTTTTTTAAAATGTAAAAAAAAAAAAATAAGAAAAAAAACACAACGACCGAAGTTAAAAATCATTAAAATTAAAGATTAAATATTTAATCATTTCATTATTTGATTAAATAAAACCGACAATAAAAAAATAATTAGCAAAATTAAAAGGCAAAAAAACAGAACTCCCAACCAAAAACATGTTTTTTTTCATACATTCTTGTTCTTTTTTTCTTTTTGTAAATGGTTGTCATTATCAAATATCAAAAAGAAAATTAAATTAAACCATTTCGAAATTTATCATAAAACAAATAAGAGAGAAAATAAAGCAATTTAAAATTTGCGATTTATAAATAAACATGCTCACCTCCGAAAGACGACAGAAAGTAGTAGAAGAAGTAGCATCCCTGATGTGAACTTGGCATGTGTTTGCGCGTAAAATTTGATCACGTACCACGGAATTGCCATTTTGTTTCAATATAATAGGAACTGCAGTTTCTCTGATTTCGTTAAAAATTATCAAAGACGTGTTTACAAAGCGTAAGTGTGTAAAATGCCGACAACAGTATATACATTTCGCAGACGATCGTTCACGGTAACGCCATATTGAAACTTGGAAGTAGAGGGGGGAGAGGTAACAAAAGGGGAATAACTCTTTAAAATTGTTTGGATAATTCTTTCCCCTGTTCTTTTGAATCTCAATTTAAATCCTCAGAAATCAAAATGTTCATTTGTTTTGGTTTGTTTTATGGCATATTAATCTTTTGGTTCCTTTAATGCCGAAATTTAGGATTTTTTAAATAAAGTCTTATATTTAAACAGTCAAAAAATTATTTTGCATAGGAAGGCTGCTGTTTGTTTGGGTCATTTAATGCTGAAATTTAATTTTCTTGGGAGATTTGAGGTAATAAAAATATGTTATTCTGCTTTTCACAACTGAATACATGGTAGAAGATACTCAGCTTTTGTGCATATAGACGTTTGTGGGAACATAATTACTAGAGGCGCTGATAGATGTGTTTTATGATGTAATTTTGCTGAAATTGTATTTGGGAATACAGTTTGATTTCTTTAAGAAATTGTAGGATATTATATGGAATAATGTCCTGAAAAGAGTTCTTTCATGTTGGTTGTTTGATTTTGTTTAGAGGAATATCAACCTCTAGGGGTTATTTAAAGCCAAAATATAAATACTTTGAACAATTTTATGGTTTCAACTAAATATATTTTAAACATAATTGTATGCCTTCAACTACAGATAAAATGTATTGTTAATCATTTTTGCTATAAAATATATTGCTGGTCATTTTGTTATAAAACTGTATTGCTAGTCATTTTATGATAAAAATGTCTTTTCATGCTTTCATAGTGTTTTATTTTTGTTTGGGTTTCACTATTTGCCCATAGCTGGGACCCTAGCAGGTGCTACTACCCAATCTTGTGATCAGAGGGCTTGCTGCCAGATGCAGTTTATCATAATACCCAGGACTTCAAGAGGTTCAGTTGACTGCTTCTCTTAAAAATGACACTATTATTGAAAAAAATCTTTTCTTCTGTCAAAAAAAACTCTATATATTTAAAAATGTATTTATAGATATGATCACTTCTTATCTGTTACTCTGTTTTTCTCTTTAGTCAATATTCAGTTTTTATTAGCTTATAGTGGCATGGAGCTTAGGAGTCAAAATGAACAGTTGATTTACCTGTGCCAAGAAGATTAATGAAGGATGATAATAATGAGGAAACACACAGGTAATTTTACCAAAACAAAATAGGGAATTTGTTCATGAATTTACATACTTGAATTAGTGTCAGTATCTCAGTTCAGGAAAATAAATCAGAATTCTTAAAGTCCGTATTTCTAATGTATTGTCATGAAGAGGAAAATATTCATACAACAGATTAAATTATCTGACACAAAATAATATTCAAAAATGTTTAAGACAAAGGTAAGAGTTCATTGCTCACCAAAGGGACATATGGTTTTCATACATTCAAAAGTAGACAAAGAGAGATACTTTGAAATATTTAGCTTTTTTGCATTGCTGAAAGAAAATTCTTTGAAGTCCCATGTGCTAGCTCAAGGCCAATAATATAATTTTACACTGGTGAGAACATTAACATATTATTAGATCTGTTTCTTGCAGGAAATTTTTAAACATTTTAGATATTTAGAAACCCAGGTAATATCAGCTTCTTCTGATAGCTTTAATTATTATAGTTGCATAATTGTAAAAAATTAGGACTACATTACACAAATAATACCTATCAATTGTTGATTAGAAATTTAAAGTTATGATTTACCTTTCTTATCTAGTTTATAATGAGGACCATCAAGTTTTCATTCAAATAAACCTGGGTATGACGATAAACTACATCCAGCAGCAAGGCCTCTGATCTGGAGATTGGAGGTTTTGAGTGGAACCACCTCTTAATTGCTGTTGTTCCACCATCACCAGGGGTGATAGTACCTGTTAGGGTCCCACCTATGGGCAAATAGTTGAACACCCAAACAAAAACAAAATACTATGGAAGTATAAAACACATTTTATACAAAAAATACCAGCAATACATTTTCATATAAAAAAATTACCAACAATACGTATATTTATAATAAGATTACCAACAATACATTTTATCTGTAGTTGAAGGCATACAATTGCATTCAAATTATTTAGATTTTGGCATTAAATGACAGACAGAGGTTGAAATGCTGCTAAACAAAATCAACCAACCAACATGAAAAGTTTTGATTTGATCTGATTTGTTTGTTTAATGGCATATCAACACTTCATGGGTTATTTTATGCCAAAATTTAATTTTCTTGGGAGCTTTGATTTGATTTGTTTGTTTAACAGCATATCAACTCTTTATAGGTCATTTAATGCTGAAATTTAATTTTCTGGGAGCTTTGAATTAATAAATATATGTTACTCTGCTTTCGCAATCAAATACATGGTAGATGATACTTATCTTTTGTATATATACGTGTTTGTATGAACATAATTACTAATTCTACTAATAATTAATTATTATGTGCATTATATCTTGTGGTTTTGTTGAAGTTATATTTTAGGATATAGTTTGATTTCTCAAAAAAATTTTAGGATATTATATGGACTAATGTCATGAAAGAGTTCTTTCATGTTGATTGATGTGGTAATTTTACTATACATAGGTATTGTTGTTAATTCTTTTTTTATATTGAGGTATTGCTGGTATTTTCACTATCAAAATGTATTTTTATACTTTCATATTGTTTACTATTTGCCTATAGCTGGAACCCTAACAGGTACTACCACCCTGGGTAAGGGTGGACCTGGTAACAACAGATGGTTCCATGCCCCTCAAAACCTCCAATCTCCCAATCAAAGGCCTTGCTGCCAGATGTAGTTTATCATCTTACTCAGGACTACAACATGAAGCTCTTTCATGACATTAAGCCATATAATATCCCACAATTTCTTAAATCAAACTGTATTCAGAAATATAACGCCAACAAAATTACAACATAAAACACATATATTACTGCCTCCAGTAATTATATCCAATTCCCAATGACCTAACATCTCATGTGAATGTTTAACCTGCTCCAAGTTTTAGGAGCAAGAGATACAGCATCACGAAAGAACAGGAAGGGTTAATTTTGTTGTATCAACGATTATATAAACCAATTGAAAATTAACCAAGTGGCCTTCTTTGTTATTTGTCATAATATTTTTACATTCACCAGTGGAAGCATTCTTGTCTTTTTTGTAGTAAAACATCCCTATAACACTAAAAACATACATACAACCCACACACCCAATTAAATTGAAAAAATAAAATTGATAATAGCTAAAAGAATAGCTGAAAACATTTGGAATTATAGAACATTTGGATAGTTTCTGCACACTCCACTCTATGTCCAAGAAAGAAGAAAACACTTGTTTGAACACAAGAAAAATTAAATAAAAAGCTTAATTATAGTACCTTGTCTGCCGTCTTTAATGAAACACACACACACACACACACACATATATATATATATATATATATATATATATATATATATATATATATATATATATATATATATATATCTTACTTATTATAAAACGCAGATTGGGTGAGTGTGTGTGTGTGTCTGTATGTTTATATATTGGATCGGATTTCCTACATTTTTCAACTGATTTCAACAAAACTTCACAGGACTACGTAAAATTACCTTGTGGTGGTTCTGACAATGCCCAAAATTGGAAAAACACAATTGTTTTTGCACAAAATCAATTTGAAAACACGATTAAGAGGCATCACGAAAATGAAAGGGGGACAACTCATATCGAGTTATACTTATTATAAAACCCAGGTTGTGTGTGTGTGTGTGTGTGTGTGTGTGTGTGTGTGTGTGTGTGTGTGTTCCTTTATATATGGGATCGGATTTCCTACATTTTTCAACCGATTTCAACAAAACTTCACTTTTTTGGGCAGGTAGTGTTTCTTATTGTCTTGCACACTTTTTTTTTTTTTTTTTACATTCAGAATGCTTTAAAATTACATTTACAAGACAATTGTTTATAATAAAATTCTATTCAATCGGTAGACTCATAACGATTGAAAACAATGTTTTTGCTTGAGTTTGGGTTTGACCAATTCATAAAAAAAAAAAAAAACTAATTAAGACATGCGTGTCTGTCAACCTTAAACAATAATCTTTGTCAATTTTATTTTTCAGTCTTTATGATGGTCGATACTTGATCTATCTCTTACTGTTACATCCCCCGGCAATGTCGGGCTCTACTGCTAGTATATATATATATATATATATATATATATATATATATAAAGAAATATAGTCTTAAGGTGTGCTATATTTATGGAATAAAGTGCTCAATATCAGAGATAGAGCGTGTGTAAATATAAAAGTGAACATAGAAGTCAACACTTAGAGGCGACAGTCTGTTTCATGCTATATGCAATCATCAGGCCACATATGCATATGTGGCCTGACGATTTATATATATATATATATATATATATATATATTGGTTGTTGGCTCCTATAAGAAGCTCATCCAGCGATCGTTTTTTTTCATACTGTGAGATGACTTGTCACACTCCCTACCAGCTGAAAAGCTAGTGGGGTAGCTGGTTTAGACATATGACATGGGAAAGTAATTAAACACATATGTATATGAATGTGCATATATCACTTCAGAATCATTTGTAAATTACCTGCTTTTCAAACTCTTTTTAACAGTAAATAGTCAAATGGCACAAAGATCTGATAAGTATTTTGTTACTTCATGTTAATATTTAATTTATATTTGGTTTAAATTTATGCTAAATAAAAACATGAAAATTTGAAAAATTTAAAATCTTTTTAATCTAAAAAAAAATAAAAAACTTTAAGAAATTTCTTTAAAT